TTTCTTTACATTTCTGGAATTTTTAATTGGGTGCTAGATACTGTGAATTTTATCATGCTACAAATGGAAAATTTTTATTTTCCTATGAGCATTCTTACACCATATTCTAGTTAAGTTACATGGAAACAGTAATAATTTCAGGTCTTATGATTCATTAGAAGAATTCAGAGCAACATTCAATCAGGGATAATTATTCACCACTACTGAGGCAAGTGATCTTGCAAATAGAAGTATTCTTGCATATAAAAAATGTATCTTGTGAATAAAAAGTATTCTGTCTAATTACCCATGATGTGTGCATTTTCACTGTGTAATTGTGGGAACAAGACAAGAATTTGTGGCCCTTTGTGTGCATCTAGAACTATTTGTCTAAACTCTTTGGATGGCTCCTTAAGCCAAGAGTTGGGGAATTTCCTCACACATATGTGTTGGTCGTTACCTGGTAAAATCGTGACAAAGCAGATCTCAGGACTTTTGTCTCTGTGCAACTTTCTTTTGATAACTTTCCCCATCCTGCATACTGTAGTTGTTTCTGTCTCCTCATTTCTCTGTTCGATCTTCTCAACTCTGGATTCTTGTACTTTGACCTGGGAAATGTGACCTGGGAATTTCAAGGCAGTGAAATTGGGAATCACTCAGGAATCACTGCCTTTCCCTGCCTGATCTCAGTGTCTTCAATACAAGTCTTTTATCTATTTTGTCTTTTCTTTGTTGTTTCAAGTAAGAGGGTGTATGCAGTGACTAATACATCCATCTTGCTCAGAAGTGGGGTCTCTCTCCATTTTCCCCTCTTCTCTGCATGTGTCTTGCATAGGATGACTCCTTAGGAATTATCTACAGGTGACAAAAGGATCACAGTACTCTTCATTGGTCTAGGTCACATTAGTAATATGATTACATGTAATTTTTTTTAAAAAGACCACTTGACTCATTGGAAGCCTAAGAATTTTTTAAAGTTTAACACTTATGTACTGATGTACAGAAACTCAAAATTGAGTGAGTTATGGCTATGTTAACTGAAAAAAAAACTCTAGCAAGACTAACTACTCTGTCATCCTGTTGAAAACTTGATGTAGCACCTCTCCCTGCAGCCTGAGGGCTAAGAGCAGGGTGGGGTAGGGCCTGAAAGGGGTACACAATCCAGTGTGTTCATCCCTAGACTCAGAAATTTCAAAAGACTGACTGGTAAATGGATAGTCATAAATTTGTCTGTGATGCTTATCTTCAGAGATCTAGAGCAGCACTTGAAAGGCAATAATATAGATGTAATCTTAATTTCAAACAGTGCCAGGTGGCAGCCAGAGAACCCAAGATTAAAGTCTTCCCCTAGAAGCACCATCTTGCCATGTTCTGTTCTTGTCTGTGAGCAGTGAGCTTCAGGGCTCATTGCCCTGATGGGGAACTGAGCCACAGCGGCTGCAGGGAACATGGAGCACTGGGCTTTGAGAAGACAGCCTTGAGATGAAATCTCAGTATAGCCAGTCCCTTGTTCTGGGAGTTGGGCAAATCAATCAGTCAGTCTCTTAGAGTTTCAGTTTTCCCAGACTGTTCCTAGGACTGTTGAAATTACTACATGTCACACAATAGAATAAATCAGGAGTTCTTCCCTTTTTCAAGTCCATTCAAATCATCTGCTTTCTGTTAACAATCCTCTCCCACCCACTGATATACAGTGCAGTTGCTTATCTTTCAAGTTTCTTATTTTTTTTTAAAGCCATGTTTACCAGTCTCAGGAATCTTAGCTAAATTTGTGTGAAATCTTTAATTTACAGGCCTGATTACTTCTAGGGATGGTTACTCTCACCTGAGCCATTTCAATCATCCTAATTTCACTCCCCAAGAGCAATGGCAGAGATCTTCATGACAGTGCTTATTACAAGGCTTTGGGAATTATGTTTTATTTTTACTGGCTGTTCCACTAGAAAATGAAACCCTGAAAGGCTAGGAATATGTATTTTTCATGTTGGTGATACTAAAAGCATCTATATTAAAGGGACTATAGTAAGGGTTTTGTAACAAGAAATGAATGACGAATAGGTTAATGAAAAGGCAAATAGTCATGACCTCCAGAAAGTTTATTCCTGAACTAAAGACCAGGTTAAACTGAGAATAATTGCTCACAACCTGAAGAACATACAGGGAATTCTCTCTGGAAACCAGATGCAGTAAGATTGAGCAGAAGGAGCATAGACTCCTGAGAGAGACCTCAGTTCAAAATCAGGCTCTTCCATGACACTATTGTTAGGGTGCAATTATATGATTAGTAAAGTCACAGTTACAAAATAGCAGCCTTTAGGTATTTCATAATAATCGCTAGAGATCAATAAGAGCTCTTGCTGTGACCATGCTCCTGCTGCTTGTCATGTAGCTAGCTTGCTAACTTCAGTCAGGCTTGACTGAGTCCAGATGTTTTTCTTCTGATAACACACTGGATCAGCTTGACTATTCTTAGTTTATGTCTTCCTTAGTTAAGAAAATATATTGCTTCTAACTGGCTTCAAGGACTTTGTTTGGAGCAAAGTAACTCTGCCAAAGACACTTGTTAACTCTGCTTGCTTTGCTTGAACCACCCCCCCCCCCCACGCCATCTCCAGGATGTTCCTATGTTATGATAAACAACTCCTTTTAAGCAAAAGTATTTAGAGTTAATTTACCAGACAATATGACTTAACTCATATAACCAATCATGTAGTGCCTAGTACACTTCCTGCTTGCAAACTGTATTTAAACTGAACCCAAAACTGCCTCAGTGCTGATGACTTGGAACTGAGATTTCCATCAGCCCACTAGTGCCTTCTAGATTCCTCAGTATAGAGTCTTCTGTTTGGTAAAATGTGAGACTTTTCTGTTTGAAGACCCTGAGAGTTTAGGGCTATTTGTCATTACAGCATAGCCAAGATCATTCTTACTTACACAATATTCATGGACTATGGAAATAATTAAATGAAATGTTTTTAAATTGCCAAGTTTTCATGCGCTTATAGCTGCTGAGTTTAAAAAAGATGCAAATTTTCTACTTTGAATACAGCAATAGCACTGTAAAATGTATTATTAAGAGAAGTCTCAGCGTCAGAAACTCTTAGTGGAGTTGTGTGTGTGTGTGTGTGTGTGTGTGTGTTTGTAATATGCAAGAAAGTGCAAACTAACGGAGGACTGGATATCAGTACTTCGGATATCAGTAGTGCTGGCTATCAGTACTTTGCAGGGTGTTCAGATGGCAAAGAGAGTTAGCAAAAGGAGAGACCAGTTGGAGCTACAGGAAATAGGGAAGGGCATATTAATGAATCTTAAACATGGAAGATAGAGAATATTGAATTCCTAAAAATTCTAAGACACATATAATAACATCTTAATCTCTTCTTGTAATTATCTGATATGAAGTTGTTTCACAGTATGAAAACGTGTTTTTTTTCTTTTCAGGGGTTATAATATCATCAAAAGAGTATGGCTTAGCACAGTTCTTGGCACATAGTAAGGACTCAATAAACATGTATAAATAGATGATCGGGCTTTTGAATTCCAGCTCTCCCTTCCTGTGTGACTTCCTGTGTGACTTACCATCTCCATGGTTCAGTCTCTACATCTTAGCATATTTTGCATTTAAATGTGGCACACAGATCCACATGGTGGCTGTTCAATAAAAGGAATACTCTTGCTTTTTTCCATGTTGTAGCATGGTTTTCAAAGCCATCAGCATTTATACTCTTCACACTGTGTGTGTACATTCTTGACATGTAAAGAGGTCTCTAATTTATCACTGTCACAAGAACTATGCTAACAAACATTTGCCCAAGCTTCTTGCTGTTGTTGGTATTTTCATTAAGACTGACTTCAAAGTTTGGCTTCACTGAGTCAAAGGTAGTGAACACATCCATGGAAGGATCAGTCCAACAGGGGGACACAGGAAGCAGAATGAGGCCTAATTATAAGGGTCCAAATTCAGCTGATGAGCTTAGATTAGATCAACAGATCTGCTTAGGCTTGTTGGTAGATTCTGTGTAGCAAACTTGTTTTCCAGTGAAAACTTTCCAGGTTTTAAATTAACCTCCAGTCTTCCATCTCACAGTTCTTCCCACCTTCCAGACTTAACCACCATCACCTCTGGGGCGACTTCAATGCCTTATTAGCCACTGATACCATCTCAGGTGGTGTGGCTGGCTAGGGTGCTGGTTAATCATTTCCTGTGCATTGTGTGGGCCTGTTCTTGCCTCTCAGGTGTGCAGGGTTCCTTTGCACATCTTTCTATTCAAACTTTTCTACATGTTTGTCGTCTAAGTTATTCAGCCTGATTCAAGTTACAGCAAAAGAAAGTAAAATCTGGAAAGAGACAGCAGTAATAGATGGTGTTTCTCAGAGTGAGATGGAAGCACACAGCACTCCTCTTGGAATCAAATATGTGTGCATGTTTGTACACACGTATTTTTATCTAAATTTTTACTCCCCAGTATATTCATCTCATTAATAATTCAGGACTAAAAGAAAACTCACAATCTACTGTCTCATATTTGCTTTAACTCAGTGAATGGAAATACCACACATGCCACCAGGCAAAATAGAAACCAGGGAGCCGTTCTTGATGCCCCTTTTCCTTCAGCACCCCCATCACTTCCAATCCATCATCTCTCAACTCCTAGCCCACCCCTGCATCAGCCCACATTTCTCAGCCTCCACTGCCATTCAGTGGCTCAAGCTACCATCATTTTGCTTGGACTCTTTGGAAATGAGGGTTCCTGTTATCACGTGTGCTGCCAGGATAGATCTCCCTGAAAGAAAAGACAGGTTTCCAACTGTGGAGAGAAAAGAGATCAGACAGTCTCCAACTGCTAACTCCTGCATCCCTTACCAGCTACAGGCAGCCACCTCCCCCGGGGTCATGCCCTTCCTGGGTTATCCCAGGTGACACAATAGGAATTTATAAACCTTGTCTTAGTTACTTTTTACTCATTGCTGAGACGAAATACCTGAAGCCCAAGTTGGGAAAGGAAAGGTTTATTTCTTACAGTTTTTGGAGGTTTTAGTCCACACTCAGTTGGCTCCAAGGCAGGCGGGCATGGCTGGGCCACAGTTCATGGCGCTGCAAACAGTAAGCAGGAACCAACAAAAGAGCAAGACACGCCTTCTTCCTGCCATTACATCACATCCTGGCTCCACCCCTATGTGGGTGGAGCACTGACACCATCAATCCAAGCACTGGACAATGAACCAATCACAAATGCACAATGCAAACTCATGAGGCCTGGGGGCCACCGACATAAACCATGACAAACCTGGTCACATCAGCCAGTTGTGGTACAAATTTGACTGTCAGGTCTACTTAGCAACCAGAAGGCTGGCTGAGACATCATCAGCTGAGGATCTACCTAATACCTGTACCTGGGATCCCACTCTCATCCACCTCCACCTTTCCTGTGTACTGCAGCTATGGCGATCTTTCCTCCACTCTAGTGAAGCAGTCAGTTCGTTGCTTCCAAGCCTCGGTGCTGCCCAGCTGTTTCAAAGTTAAAGAACAAAGCCTTAAACATGGGCAAGATGCTTCTTCCCATCCTTCCCTTCCTACCTCACTCAGTCACATGGACTCTAGTAGATTCCTAGGGTTGTGACAATAAAATTCATAAACTAAGTGGCAAAAATGACAGAAATTCATTGTCTCACAGTTCTGGAGGCTAAAGATTGGTAACTAAAGTGTTACAGAGCTGAACGTCCTCCGAAACCTGCGGGAGATCCTTCTGGTGGCCTTCCAGCATTTCATGATTTACTGGCAGTCTTTGGCATTCCCTGGCTTGTGGGTGCGTAGTGTGGCTTCTGTCTTCCACCATCACATGCCACTGTCTGTATTTCTGTGTTCACCGGACTTTCTTCTAATGGCATCAGCAGTCATATTAGATTGGAGGCCTACTCCAGGGTGTTACATCTTAATTAATCGCATCTTACATGACCCTATTTGCAAAGAAGCGCAGGGCTGTGGTTTGAGTGTGTTCTTCAAAGGCTTGTACGTTGCAAGGTTGGTCCTTATTGTCATGGTGGTGAGAGCTTTAAAAGATGAGGCAGAGAGGCAGGCCATTAGTGGTCCCTCTCCACTTTTCTCTAGTTTCCTGTTTACCAAATGATCTCTGTGTGTGTGTGTGTGTGTGTATGTGTCTCTGTCTCTGTCTGTCTGTCTGTCTCTCTCTTTCTGCCCACCACCTGCCTCTGTGATATGTCCTCCACGAGGTCCTTACCAGAGCCAAGTTGGTGCCAGCACCACGCCCTTAAGTCTTCAGCATTGTGAAATAAACTTTTTTTGAAATGTACCCAGTCTTGGATATTTCATTACAGTAATGGAAGACAGGCTGATGCTATCATATTCTGGGATCCAGGGGGCTATGATTTCAATATATCTTTTTTGGAGGACACAGTTCAACCTGTAACACTGATACTCGTTTGATCCCTGAAAGTCTTCATACTCATCTTGCTTCAGGTCTTATGTATAACCCGTCCAAACTCCCCATTCCTTCCCCAGTCCACTTGTTCCTATTCAAGACCTTATCCTCTCAATCTCTGCTAAAAATTCATTCTCCTTAGTCAGATTTTTCTATCCTCCTCCTACCTTGAGCTAAGTCAGCTCTTCCCATTCATTGTACCCTGTATTTTCTTTCTCAGTGTATATCATCACTTGTAATTATATATTTTTGTGCAAATCTTTTAACCATGGCTGACACATGGTTGTATGCTCCTGCACCAGTACACAAGCTCCTTAAGGACACAAAGGTTGCCCCTGGACACCACTGTCTTCAGTGCTGAGCCTGAGCCCAGCACACCCTAGGTGCTCAGTAAGTAGTTATTAAATGAGCAATTTCAGAAAACTCATTGAGCTATTGGGTTTCATCTCTCCGTATAGTTTTGAAGTTGTGAGCGCTCTTGCTTCCAGATGTAGTGTTCTGCTGACCCAGTCAAGACAACAACATAGAGAGGGAAAGGGGCAAGGAAAATAAGCCCCAGACAGTGGTTGAAGTTGATTCCCAAGATCTTCACATGAAACAGAACACATCCCTAGCAGTCAGACCTGTTTCCAGCAATCTGCTGGAATTCCTACCCAACATGGAGCATGGGCTAGGACTAAGCTATCTTCCTGAATTGTGAACTTTCTTATAATCAGGACTGTACAGAAATCCAAGCTCCTCACTGGGAGCATGCCAGGAACTTAATGAATACCAAGGGGCAATATGCAGTCCATTGCATATACTGCCTTAAAAGCAGAGGCTGTCTCATTCATGCAGTGATACCCTAGCAGAGGAGCAACACAAATGCTCTAAATACATGAAAATACTATAGGAAGTTAGGATTGGAGGAAGTGGAGAAGATCTAGCTAAGAAGGGCTCTCTCCTCCCTGTCACAAGCTCTAGCTAAAGCCACCCTTGAATGTGACTGACATTTATCCAGCCTGAATGTGGCTACAAGTGTTTCCCATGGGGGGGGGGGGCGTGCCCCACCCCAAGCCCATAGCGCTGCACAGTGCCAGGGGAAGGACCTGTCTGGAGAATCAGGTCTGATAAGACTCATCATATTTTGAATTCTTTAAAAATGCTCATCTTTTGTACCTTCCCAACTCCTTGACTTTCCTCATAGAAGGCCTCAGGGAGAGAGAATACAAAGAGAATTTCCAAGGTGCAATTTAGCTCTGGCAGTCACAATTTAGGCAGCAGGATAACAGCCTTGCACCCCAGGCCACTCCCCTCTCCAGAGATGGCTTTCTCCCTCTAGAGCTACGAGGGTCTAAGCTACAGGACGTGGCACCATGAGCGCTTCCAGTCCCTTCTCATGCTGGAGCAGGTGAGCCTGTACTACAAGGAAATGAAGCGGGCAGAGTCAGGGCCAAGACCTCACCCTCCAGCCAGGAAACAGCAGCGGACTGAGCAAGTTTATCAAAGAGATTAATCTAAGTACTGATTTTAATATTAAATTGAACATCAATTTGAACAGTTAAATTGTCTCTTTGCTGATCAGTTGGGTCTGGGCTTGGGAGGAAGGCTGTATATAACCTTGGGGCATAACACCACTTTTGCCATAAAGATGCATTATTGTGGGTGCAAAATATCCACACTTTTCTTTAGAGTATTTCTAGTGATAAATTATTAATTTTAATTTTACGAGTTTTATTGGATTAAACAAAGAGCCCTCAGCAGGAAAAATGTAAAAAAAAGAAAGTATAGAATTTTTAATATTGGGGCTGGGGATTTAGCTCAGTGGCATAAGTGCCTGCCTGGCAGGCACGAGGTCATGAGTTCGATCCCCAGTACCGCAAAAAAAAAAAAAAAAAAAAAAAAAAAGAATTTTCAATATTGATTGTTTATAAAAAAAAGCATGAAAAATTTTCAATATAGACTATACCAATAGAACTCTACAAAAAAAAATTAAAATAACCTTTACTTCAATTATCATACCTGAAGCAGTCTTCACATATGACAACAAGTTCCATACACATGCGTCACTTACACTGACAGCACACGTGATTTGCTCTCCTGGCCTTTTTGTAGGACATACATGATATCTTTGTAGACTTGCTGTTTTGTGATGAGGCTCTTATCACATTACAAAACGTGTAATTAACAGGAGCATAAAATATCAACAAAGTATTAAATTCTATATACATATTGCACGCTTAGAATTTTCTTGCTTACAAAACTAAAAGAAAAATCAGGAAAACATTCCTATGTGAAAAACAGTGAAGCACCAATAGAACTCTATAACAAAAATCATCTTTGCTTCCACTGTCGCACCCCAGGCAGTGTTCACACATGACAACTGCATGCTCCATGCATACATCTCAATTACACTGACAACACATGTGCTTAGCTGTCCTTTCTTATGTGGCAGGCCTGTCACCTCTCTTGTCTTCCTGTTCTGTCAGGAGCTTCCCGCTATATTGTGCATTGTGCACTTAACGGGAAAATAAAATATCAATAAAATAGCAAATATGTTTGTAATGGGTAGTTAGAATAGACATAAATACTTTCATGTAGGTTATTGACTTGCTTACAAAACCTAAAGAATGACATCAAAAATAAAAACCTTTGTGAACTACAATGCAAACACAAACAAAAATCCACCACAGAAATAATTTTTGTTTCAACTGTCATGTCAAGGCAGTCTTCACACCTGACAACTGCATGCTTCATGCCCAAGTATGGCTTAAATAGACAGCACAAATGGCTTCTTTTTCCTGTCCTTTCCTGTAGAGCACTTTGACATCTTTTTGTTTCACTGTTGTCATAGTAGGTCCTTGTGAGGCTGTTCCTGCCTGTTCACCTGACAGCTCATCAGTGTGCTCCACGATTTTTTGCATAATTCCCTGGGCAGAAACATTTTGTTTTTCCTCTGCTGTAAATGATGTCTTAGGAGTTCCAGTCCCAATCATCTAAGAAAATTTCATTATATTTTTCACTTGTTATTTTCTTTGTAAACTATTAAAACAATGTGCATGATACATGTTTAGGATCAAGTAAAAATCATTGGCCAATGCTTTGTGTTGCCAGTGACATCATAATTGCTGCATAATTCATCAACAACATCTCCCCCATCTTTCATTTTGTTACAGGAAGTTACCACCTCAGACTTCCATTTTGTAGAGATTTGCCTATCAATATTTCCAACATGGTGCAATACTGACATCAGTAGTACCAGTTTGTTTTTCATTGCCATATACATGAGGTCAATGCTATATCTTTTTGAAACCCAAAGATTGTACTATATAATTGTCTGTTTTGAAATTGCAACATTTCATTTGAAATTTCTGTTTTGTTCCTGCGTATAAGTCCTATGCTGGTCAACTTGCACTCTGTTAGCAAATGTAATATCAATTGGAAACTGATAAATCAATGGTTGAATGTCACATTCTGATTATTTTGTGAGATGGAAGCAACAAGTCTTTTCACAACATCATTGGTTTGGTTTATTATTGTATGAATAAAGACCTGGTGGCTGAGTTCCAGGATAAATTTCTAAATTTAAAGCATAATGTCTTTGCATCTACAAAGCCATACATTTTTATGCCATATTTTGAAAGTGCGGGGGCGGGGGAGGATATATTGCCTGA